TTACGCCCACAAGAAAATGCCTGGTTTTCGTCATCTTTGATAAACCAGAACACAGATCACTGCATGGCATACATAATGGGGTTTCAAAAAATTAGTTGAGGGGACCAGCAAGTGGTATGGTGGTTAAGGCACTGGATTCCCTCATGGCCAGCTTCCTGGTTCGAGTCTCAGATCCAAGGGAATGAAAATCATAGTAAATAAGTAAATAAATGTTTTTTAAAAATTAACAGAAAAATACAATTCAAAGTACACATTTATTTTTATGCAAAATTGCACTTGTAAAAGTTTTTTCATAAAACACATTTCTCATGACCTTTTTGAAACCCCTTCATAGTATGCACTCAACAAATATCTACAGAAGGAAAGAAAAGAAAGCACATTCTACGGAAGAAAGCCTCAATAAGCACCTCCATCTCTTGCTGTCCTGGTTCTAGACCAGACTCCGGAACATTACTCCTACCAGAGCACTCCCTAAACATCTCAGGCAGAGATGAAAGAAAAATAAACCAATGAGAATGAAGGACGCTTTATAAATACTGGTGGGGTGAGGTTACTAATACATGTGTTCATGCTTTTATTAAGAGTATACCCTGGCGGGGGAGGCAGCAGTTGGCATAATGGCTATGTCGCCGGACTCTCATGTAGCAGACCACAGTTCGAGTCCCAGACCTGGTGACTTACACTCACACCGGGCACATATGCGTGCGTGCCCAAGATCCTGGGAGGAAAAGGGATTGTGGTGTGGCCGTCCCCCCTGGGGGGTGAGTTCTCGCTTTCTGTCTCTCTGTCTTTCTGGCGAGCACATGAGCCCTGTAGCAAAAACCTCTCCAAAAAAAAAATATATATTATTTTTATAAAGTATTACAGAAACATGAGCTAGCAAATGGCATGAAAGCTAAAGCATTAAATTCCACATGATCAACTCAATGATTTGAGTCCCGGACCAGTGTCTTCACACCAGATGTGTGTATATGTGTGCCAAAGCCCCAAGAGGAAACTAGAGAAAAAGGGACCGCGGTGTGGCCATGCCCCCGGGGTGTGGGGTGGGAGGTTATTTATCACTTTCTTTCTCTCTCTCTCTCCTTCTCTCTCTCTCTCTAGCAAGCACATGTGCCCTATAGCAAAAACTTCAAAAATAAATAAATAAATATTACAAAAACACTCTGCCTAGACATTTATTTCTACAATAAATTTCACTGACTTATGATTCTTAGAAAATACAATTACCAAAACACATGCTTTTTCCCTAGAACATATACAGAAAAATCCATTTGTATAAAAATTTACTGGTAATCTACATATGTCAGTCAATTTATTGATTTAGACTTGCATCTGATAGAACTCTAAAGTTAAATTTTAAAAGATCAGTAGATTTAGTACATTTAATCCTAATGCAGATCAATCCTAATTTCAGAGCTAAGCGTATTAACAAAGCATATCAAACTCCTGGAGAACAATGGTAGCATAGACAAACTACATGTAAATTAGGAAAAGTCAAATGTGGTTAGCAAAGCCTTTTAACACACATCTAGCTGCTTTGTATGCCTGGGAAGATACTACAGGAGAGTGGGCTGGACAGTTGACCAGCAGGAGAATCTGATGCTCTGCAAAGCAGATCAATGTGAGAAGGTTACTGGTTCACATCCAGAGACCTCCCTGAGCAAGCCAGTATGCATGTGTCCAAGACCCAGACCGGGTGAGGCTGGACTGTGGCTCCAGGATGCTGTGCAGTATCTCTCTGCCTTTCTCATTTGTGGAATAAATGAATTATCTTAAAAAGAGAGACAAGCATTTTTGAATGCCAGTGGGCACAAGCATTCACCAGAGAGAGAGAAAGCACCCACTTCAAGGAGCCCTGATTATGCTACAATCCTTTTTCCTCCATTCTCCGTCCTGTCAGGATCCTAGGCACATACACAAATGTGCCAGGCATGCATTTCAAGCCGCTGTGGCCAAGCTTCAATCTACAATAGCACACGTGGGCTCCAGCTTCCCATGCAGAGCACCTAAGACTGCGCTACAGGACTGGCCAGATAAACTCCTTAGCTGGAGAATAGGTAGAAGTTGATGCAATTTACATAAATAGGTAATTTCATAACAGAAAAAAAATTGGAAAAGTAAATTGGAAACAAAGTTTAAGAAGCAACTAAAGGGACCAGCAGAAGGCATGCATAATGGTTACGTCGCCGCATGCATTGCCCCAAGATCCCGAGAGGAGACTGGAGGAGAAGGGATTGTGGCGTGGCTGTCACTCCCGTCTCCAGGGGTGATTTCTCACTTTCTGTCTCTCTGTCCCTCTCTGCCTCTCCAGTAAACACACACACCCTACTGCAAAAATCTCTCTAAAAAAAAAGAGAAACAACCAAGAAGAAACCATTATCTAAAAATTTCAGTCTTCAAAGTTTTGTTATTTTTTTAAGAGGTTTTTGCTATAGGGCATCTGCGCTCGCCAGAAAGACAGAGACAGATAGACAGAAAGCAAGAAATCACACCTCCCCCCAGAGGGGGATGGCCACGTCGCAATCCCTTCTCCTCCACTCTCCTCTCAGGATCTTGGGCATGCACGCACACGTGGCCGGCGTGAGTTTAAGCCACTGGGTCTTGGACTTGAACCACAGTCAACCACATGGAAGTCCAGCAACATAGCCATTATGCCAACTGCTGGTCCCCAAAGTCTTCAAGTTTGAATTTCTCTTTCTAATAACTACTTACAAGCAGGTCACAAACAGCACACAGATTGAAACTGAGTAATAAAAATAAAACTACTAGTAATTTGACCATTTTTAGTCTTTCTGCTGCATTCCTACACAATGCCTTTTTGTGATTATTCTTCAAAACCACACAGCATAAATTTGTTTAAATTAAATATATTAGGGAACGTCTCGTCTCGTCTCAAAGAAGCAGAATCATATCATTACGATAGTGTTCAATTAAGAAGATTCCTTGGGTTTAGAAAAACTCTTCTGCATAAAGTATCACCATAAAACCTATCACTGATTTTACCGTTTGCACAGAAGCTCAGATAATGAAACAAAGTTCACAGCACTTCCGAGCTATATGAATGATGAAAGGAAAAACAATGACCACGAAAAAGCCATCCCGTGATGGCTAGAGGGAACGCTCTGGTTCCAACTCCGACTCCAATAATCCACCTGTAGAATGAGCTCAGCAGTCAAGTTCTGTCCCCCCAAAAAAGGTGGGTAACAGCGTCATCTATGAGCCGAAGTGAAATCTTTTTTTTTTTTTGGAGAGGTTTTTGCTATAGGGCGCATGTGCTCGCCAGACCAAGAGAGACAGAGAGACAGAAAGCAAGAAATCATCCCACAGGGGGGATGGCCACACCGCAATCTCTTCTCCTCCATTCTCCTCTCGGGATCTTGGGCACGCACGCACACGCGCCCGGTGTGAGTTTAAGCCACCGGGTCTGGGACGCGAACTGGGTCGACTACGTCCAGCGACATAGCCATTACGCTAACTGCTGGTCCCCTGAAGTGAAATCTTACAGCCTTCACAGTTCTATTCTACATCAGGAGAACGGGGCACATTTCAAAAGATCTCTGACAACTTTTCCCTTCACTCACTAAGGGGGTGGCATTGGCCTTCTCACGGCTGCTCTACTGAGCCAGTGCTGACAGTTTCTGTCCAGCCGTTCCCTCCACAGTCAGTCTCTGACTACTCTCTCTAGAGAAGCCTCACCTGTCTTACTGACAGCTGTATGACCAGCGAATACAAGTACTATTCAGTAAGTATTTGTTAAACATACTAGTGAGTCTATATACAGTTTCAGTAAAACAAAAACAAATTTGATGGCAATTTAAAAATAAACATATTAATAAAATATCTAATATCCAATCCCAATTTAAAGTATAAAAAAAGAAACGGAAATTCTGACTTTTAAAAAAATCAGATTCTCTACATTTATTTTCTATCTGCTTCTGGTAATAAGTGAAACATGGCAAAGTCTTAATTCTGAGTAATAACTAAGATATAAATTAAGATACATATAAATTCCGAGAAAGCACAACAAATACATGATTCCCTGTCTTAGAGTCCATAAAGATAATTGCCAAGCAAAGATAAAGTCTGCCGGTTTTAAGTATGCAGACATACATGCACATTGCATTTAAAGCATAAAAGCATAGTGCTCAAGAGAAATGCTGCACCACTAAATCCTATCATTTGCTAAATAAAAATGGTAAATGGTAAAGATGGCTTGGTCAGAACATACAAAAGTAACCATTTTCAGTGGATTAAAAAATAAAAGAGAGGGGCCGGCAGGTGGCATGCTTAAGGGGCTGTGCTGGATCCCAGATGGCTGACAGTGCGGTTTGAGTCCTAGACCTGGCAGCTTGAAAACCACGCCAGGTGCATGTACACGCATGCCCTAAATCCTGAGAAGAGACTGGAGTAGAAGCATGGCCACATCCTAAGTGGGGGGAGGGGAGCTGGGGGCAGGGTGATTTCTCACTTTTCCTGTCTCTTTTTTCTCTGTGTCTCTCTCTGGAGAGTGCACACATCCTATAGCACAAACTAAAAAAAAAATTTTAAATTATATTCCTGTACACGCAAGGATCTGGCTCTGTCAAGTATACACTTTAGAAGCATTACATCTACCACTGCAATCTGTCTTTTTAAAGAACAGAAGGCACTATGTTTTAAAGAGTATAAGAAGTCACAGCAAAAACTCCCCAAAATCTACCATATAACTCTTTAATGGCTTTAAATACTCTTAACCAGAGAGGAGCATCATGCTACTCGCAAGTTAATCAAAGCAGATTTATATATGAATAACTCAGTTCAGTTTGAAACAAGCAAACAAACAAACAAAAAACTGGTCATTCATAAATCAAATAATTCTCCAAACAGAGCTATCAGAACAACAGGTCCTTAAAGATAAACATTTGCAATAGAAAAAACTAGAGAACACAGATTTTCTTCCAGATCAGCTACTCACATCAATTGCTTAGAACAAATGGAAACATGCAGTCAAAACAACTCACCGTTACAGACTTCAGTGTCATGCCGTGGTAGGTGCCCATAGTGTCAATCTTGAAGCCTTCCGTTTCTACAGAGCAAACAGGGTTACTGTTAGACTGTTTGGTATTTTACGATCAGTAACAAATCTAAAGCAATAATATATATCTGACACCTCAACTGTATAACAAAGTCTTGAATCTAATATTTACAATATATATTGATAAATCGTCACGAATGTGTGAGTCAAATATATATGTACAGGGGGGTAGGCAGGTGGCGTGGTGGTTGAAGTGCTGGACACTCCGACATGGCCAACTGCAGTTCAAGTCCTAGACCTGTGGCTTGCTTTCTCATTTTCTCATTTTCTCTTTCTCTATCTCTCTGGTCAAATTAAAATAATAAATGAATAAATAAAATCAAATAATTCATACATACATACATATATATATTTACAGAGACATTAAAAACTTTAAAAAGGACACTACTCTCAAAAATATAGTCAATACACACTAATAAGTTAATTGTGGAGAACCTGGTTAAGACTACCTCTGCAGGGAACCAGCAGTTAGCGTAATGGCTATGTCGCTGGACTCCCACGTAGCCGAACGCAGTTCGCCTCCTGGACACGGTGGCTTAAAACTCATGCCGGGCGCGTGTGCATGCGTGCCCAAGATCCCGAGAGGAGAATGGAGGAGAAGGGATTGCGGAGTGACCATCCCCCCTGGGGGGTGATTTCTCACTTTCTGTCTCTTTGTCTCTCTCTGTCTGGCGAGCACATGCGCCCTATAGCAAAAACCTCTCAAAAAAAAAAGACTACCTCTGCAATGACCCTCAAAAATCAAACTGAATAAAATACTTTATTATCCCAAATTACATGTTACTAATCAGTGACAGTACCACTAAAAGCATCTGATATCATGAGAAGTCCACAAGTCATACGAGGTAGTATTCCCCAGCTACAATCATAAAGCACGTGGTACACATTCTGCACAAAGCCACGTTGCAGACAGCGATCTGAGTTCTAGGACAAATCCCAACTGGCCTTTCTGAAGGGGCACAGAGGAAATATTTCACACCCTGCAGGCCATAAAGTCTCTGTCACCACTTCTGAATTCCGCAGTTGCAGTGCAAAACCAGATAAAGAGACACAGATGTCCCCTGGTGTCCATAGAGGACTGGTTCCAAGACCACCAATGACACCAAAACCCATGGACGTTCCAGTGCCTTATATAAAATGGTGCAGTATTTGTTTTTAAGCTACACACATCCTCCTATATACTTTAAATCATCTCTATATTACATCTAATACCAAATACAATATAAATGCTATATATCATACTACACTGTTTGAGATATTATGACAAGGAAAAAAGTCTGTACATATTCAGCACAAATACAACCAACATTTTTCTGAATATTTCCAATCACCGGTTGGCTGAATCTGCATTAAAGTGGAACCCACAGATATGGAGGGCCCCCTGTGTGTACAGAAATGGCAGCAGCCCAGTTTGGCCTGTGAGGGTTAGATCTGGTCTGTGAGCTAAAGTTTGCCAACCCCGGCTTTACATAATTCATTTCACAAGAACTTTGCAATGAACAGAAGAATGGCCAAAGTCTTTCTGTGGCAAGATTCAGTGTGTGCCTTCAACCAGTAAATGAAGTCGGCACACAAAATTCATCACGCCAAGGTAAAACACCCTTTAAAGAAACTTAAATGGAGATCTCCGATTACCTAAAAAAGCCACCAATGTTAAAGTTCCATGCTTCCACCTCATATTCTCATGACGACGTCCAAATGAACGAAGAAGGCACAAGGTCACCCTGGGCTGCACAGACAGCAGTCCCACTCGCTAGCACAGAAACGCTTCACTATGTGTCAGCCAGGCGCCCGGCAGGCTCTCACGGGGCGCGTCCTCACTGGTACTGAGTCTGTGTTTTGCACATTCTCGCCATGTACATTAGAGACCTGGATTAGCTACAGCAACGTCCCTGTTGATGGCTAGCCTATATCTATAAATCAGTCAGCAAAACTAGAACCACCACTACTAAAAGCAAACAAGAGCCAAAGAGGAGACACGCTGGTAAAATATGACACTTCTGTGGGTGGCTGACCCACAAGGGAGGGTTCCACGCTAGTGGCCAGAGACCTCCTGGAGTCACTGAGCACGTATGTACCCTTGATATGGGGGTTGGAGGTAGACTGCAGCCTCAAGATCCTGCTGGAGCACTGTCTGGCTGTCTGTGCATGTCTATCTGTCTGTCTCTCTCTTTTACTCATTAAAGAAATAAACATTAAAAAATAATAACAGCAGCAGAGGCCAGCAGGTGGCACAGGGATTAAGGTGCTGGACTCTCAAATGGTTGACCATGGCTCAAGTCCTGGATCCGGCAGCTTAAAACTCATACAGGGTACATGTGCGCCCAAAGTCCTGAAAGGAGAATGGAGTGGGTGATTTCTCACTTTCTGTCTCTCTGTCTCTGTTTCTCCAGTGAATGCACATGCCCTATAACAAAAATCTCTCAAACAACAACAACAACAACAAAACAGCAACTTGTATAACTTATTATAAACCAGACACTGTTTTAGGAACTTTGTATTTATTAACCAATTTAATTCCTGCAAAAATCCTTTTTTTTTGTTTGTTTTTGGAGAGGTTTTTGCTATAGGGCGCATGTGCTCGCCAGACAGACCGAGAGAAAGCTAGAAATCACCCCCCAGAGGGGATGGTCACACCGCAATCCCTTCTCCTCCATTCTCCTCTCAGGATCTTGGGCATGCACGCATACGTGCCCGGCGTGAGTTTTAC